GTGTGTTGTGTCTAATAAGACTTCTCTAAGCTTTAGATGAATTGTTCTCAGAGCTCTGTCTCTCTGTGCTGCCAAAAGTGCAGGTGATTTAGGTAACGTTACTGGGCTACTGATTTAATTCAGTGTCTGAATGGCACAACTTCCCTTTGTTCTTTTGTGCCTTTGGCTTCTAAATCTTTGATTTCTTGCATTATTTCAGTCTGATACAGAAGATATAAAGAGGAATTAGTTGTGCTTGCAAACTAATATTTCAAGTCCCATAAGGCCAGATGGATCTATTGGTGCTGGTAGGAGCACTCCTTAAAGAGATAAACAAACAGGCTTCATTGACTCATTGACTGCTGTGTGGTTCCTGGGTGGATTTTCCCCTCTCTTCTTACTTTTATTATTTCCATGGCACCTCTAGTGTTGCGTTGAAGTTCATCTGACACTGAGGCAGAATGATATGTGATGTGAAAGAACTGAAATCGAATCCATTTACTGTACTGGCATATCTACTGCACATTACTAAAGCTGGCATGTTAATCAGACTAGCCTATCCTTCAAGGGTATTTAACACCTGGATGTTAATGTTCCCTCCTCCAAAAGCAAAATAGCTGAGAAAAGGAAAGGGGTAACCCTTGTAGTCATATTCATTCTTCCCAGGTTGAATACTGCCTGTGATAGCCTTCAACAATATTAGTCACACACATAAGGTAAAACGCGATGCCTGGGAATTGGAGTCTCCTTCCAACCTGGAAGTCAGCAGGCTAAGTGGGCGTAATGGCTGGCACCTTCATGGCGGCTCCTCTTGGTGGTGGTCAGGCAAGGGGAGTTTCTGGGGTCTTTTGCATTGTGTGCTACTGTCCTCCTTGGCTTTCAAAGCTGCATGGGCGGCCCTGACCCATAGAGTAAGGGTAAGTAAGGTGTGGAGCCTGCTTCAGGCCATAGCTTAAAATCCTATCAGGCCCTCAGCCTGCAACCCTCGGGCCTGTCTTTAATTGTTTTTGGTGAAACATTCTTCTTGGTCGTATCACCCTGGTATGTCCACTTACTGTGCAGAGGTAACTCGTGGTTGCTGTGAAGCTGAACACTGTGACATTGATACATCAAATGTGAGAATGGTTACCCATGGTGGACAGTGTTTAGTGAAGCTCCCCAATTAAAACAAGCTTGGAAGCAGGAGTGGCATCCATTTCCATAATAGCTTGCCTCTGGAAACCTTATGAACCTGGAGAGACGATGAAAGTTATACAGGAAGTGTCCAGGACTTTCATTCATAGGGTTGCTATGAGTCACCTGCAACTCAACGGCAATTAACAACAACAACAATGTAAAACATTGAATTATTTAAAAGAGTAGTAAGAAAATAAGATTTTTTGAGATATCCTGAAAGGGAGACATTTATCAAAATATTATAGTTCTTCTCTTTTCTGCTACTGTGTGCATAAGTTGGAAACATAATGTGTAGATTTAAAAATGTAATTAAAAAACAAAACAAAATACAAAAACAAAACCCCAAAAACAAACCAGTGAAAGGCAGCCAACTAGACAAAACCAGCATCCATTTGCGATGTCGTTAACAACAAAACTCAAACCTACTACTATAGACTTGGTTCAGAATAAGACTCCTTGTTAGACAGAAAAAAGAGCGAGAGGGTGAGGGAGAGAAACAAAGAAACTGGTCCCAAGAAAGGAACAGGAACAGGCCTTTATTGCACATAGATGAGTCTGTGGGGAGATGGCGTCCTTCTTATAGTGGTCCTGGGGAGGACTAAGATGGTATTTCTCAGAATTTGGTGTGTTAATTAAGTTAGTTTTGGAGTATTTTGATTAGGCTCAGACCCTTTTTAGGGTCCATTGTGTGGTCTGGTCTTTGATATGAATAGCTTAGATGTTATCAGGTTTTTCAGGAAGTGATTAAGCCTGGGTGGTAGTGGTAGGGCAAATTCCATATTTTAAGAAGTTCAAATCTACCAGCTGTTCCATAGGATAAAGATGGAAAATTTACTCCCATGCTATTTCCTGTCTCTGAAAACCTGCAGAAGGGTCAATTATGAGTTGGTTGCAACTGATGGTACATAACAACAATATTTTACAGAAGTAGACTTTCTCATCTTTCTCCCAGAAAGCATCTTACGGATTCCAACTACTGATCTTTCAGTTAGAAATTTAATAGAACACGCACTTCACGATGAAGTCTCCTTACTTTGTTAGTTGCCCTTAAATTGATTTTGGACCTTGGCAACCATATGTTACAGTATAGAGCGGCTTCAAAATATTATTTTGGCTGTCATCTTTATAAAATTAGATTTACAGCCCTTTCTGTTACTTTTCTGGTGCCATGAGATGGGTTCATACCTCCACGTTTAGCAAACTGTTAGAACCACCTAGAAACCAAAATGTAAATTACATCGTTTTCCCCCCCACAGATTTATTGTAAAGCTGGATTTCAGAGAAGATGATGTAAGTAAGGACAGACTTTGTAGATAAGCAAGTCTAAGCAATCCAGTCAAACTTGATGGGCTGGAAAGCACATGAAAACATTAACTACTTTTTGTTGGAGAATTTGTTGAGTCCCTTGTTAAAAGAATATTGAACAACTAGAAGCAGAAAAAAAAATTCTATGTGTGCCACCTTTGAGCACATGTTTATATTCGTAGTGAAAAACAAAAACTCCCCAGGCTGGTAAGATTACATAATCTGGAGATTTTTATATACTTTTTTTACTTTAAATAGATTAAAGAAGTTTGCTTTGGCAAATGATATTTGAATGGTTGGAATGCAAAAGACTAAGGGTTCAAAGAATAGTTGCAAGTGGTGAATGGAAGGAGGAGGTATATACGGAGAAAAAAAATCCATAAATACATGCAATTGTCTGTATCACTTCTGGCGTTACACATGCCAAAAAGAGAATCAGAGTAGCCAGTGTTTGCCCCTCTCCTCTGGAATAATCTCAGTTTTCATTTGTGCAGAGGTGGGTCAGGGAGTGGCTTTGAGTTGGCATCCTCAGAAACTCGATTACAGAATTGACATCATGAGAATTTGCCCATCCTGTTCGAGACAACTTGTTAAATCCCATTCATGTGTCCAAATGCAAGATTAGGAACTTGTGGTAACCACCCATGTTCACACATCTATCATTCAGACACAAAACAAAATACAAAACACCAAATGTTTCTAGAGTTGAGCCAGATATTTCTTATCTTTGAACAATCAAAACTTAGCAAAGCCTCAGGGAATTGAAATGATTTATTCGTTCAAAGTTGCTAAACTTTGGACAATTGTTCTCACTAAAACAAAATAGTCTACATTGTCTTTTATTTCTACACAGTAAATTAAAAGTGGTTGATTTTTTTAAAATATTTTCTTACTTCCCTCTGTCTATATAGACTCTGCAGTCTTTTTTTTTTCTTCTGTAAATTTTAAATAAAAGCACATGACAAGTATTTGTTATAATTCCATTGTATTGAGTTTGTTTCTCCAAATAGTGGTCCTATGTGTAAGATACCACTTCCTGGTTCTGTCTCATCAGCTAATATTCTGTTGTGATCAATCAGGGTTTTATTGGTTAAATTTTGCAAGTATATCTCCAGTTTTTCTTCCTAGTCTACCTTAGTCTGGAGGCTCCACTGAAATCATTGAACTTCCACATGGGTGACCTGCTGATATTTGAAATACTGGTGGCATAGCTTCCAGGGCCTTGGCAATGTACAAATATAACAAACATAAACACTGACAGATGGGTGAAAATGGGGAAAAACCCACCATATTCTTAAGTGTTAATAATAAACTCTCTGTCCTGTTTGGAGTGCCACCTGCATTCTGTCACTAGCTGACTACATGAACACTCACAGGCACTGTTCTAGAATATGTTGATTTATCTGGTAAAAAGAACAGCATTGGTAAAATATCTGGATAGAATTTGCTCTAGAAGCTTCAGGTCCTTATTGCCATTTCTTTTTCTGCCATGTATGTTTTCAAAAAAGTAATTCATCCAGGAACATTGATGTGTAAACCTATGCAGAAAACAGTAGCCAATGTATATTTCTACAAGCATTAACTTATGGTAAAATCTTTGATTCATAATCAAAGTTTTTATTTGCCTCTTGTAAGCATGTGATTTCTTAAGAGCTTTCAGCTGTCATGTGTGGTTTTTTGTTTGTTTGTTTGTTTTTCTGGCTACAGTGCCTGGGGAAGGGCTGAGTAAAGCAGTGAATTACAAAGAGGAAACAGCACCATTTATATTCTTTTCACTCACTCCTAAGGTAAAGCCAAAAGTATTAAATGTGATAAACTGAAAACACCACTAGTCTATGTTTGAAACACGCTTTGTTTTCCTCCTCCGTAGTAATTCTAGGTGATGGATGTTTCACTATTTATGCAAAATTGAGACCCTCAATTAAGAAATAATTATGTTGCACTGATATTTGATCTAGGAACATGTCATCTTTAGATGATTGAATGTAAGCATCTAGAAAATTTCTTCTCTAATTCTGACGTCCTTTTTGAAATATGAAAGACACTCCAGTGCAAGATGGCAAGATTAAAACTGGTGGAAGAATTTTGAAAGTAACTTGTCAATGCACTCACTGTACAAACCAGATCACCATTCTTTTGAACTAGGCATTTCTCTTCATAGATTATGATACAAGAAACAAGCACTAAATGTGGAATAGACAAACAATTTTACTTTTATATAAACTGAGAATCTCTAGATTTTCCACCTAAGATTTCCTTTTGATTTTTTAATAAAATTTTGTTTATGATTTTTAGAAAAATTGTGCAAAACCCACAGAATTCCCATGTGTCCAGCCTTCTTCCTGTATACAGTCTCTCCTATTATTATCAGCTTGCATAAATATGGTGCATTTGTTACAGTAGATAATGCTATATTGATGATGATTATTAACCAACTTCTGTAGTTAAGATTAGATCTTAGAGATTTCTGGTGGTATAATGGAGAGCTGCACTGCTAGTTAAATCTACATAGTTCTCTGGTAATTTGAATCTACCAGCAGATCTGCAGAAGAAAAAAGAGTGCTCTCTTCTCTTGCTGTTTATAGCTTCTGAAACCTTGCTGGAGGGTGAGCTATGAGTTAGTAATGATTTGACAGCAATGACTTTGGCTTTCTTTGACTCTTGAGAGTTAAGATTAGGTTTCAGTCTGTATGTACAGTCCCATGAGTTTTATAGATACATAGTTATCATGCCATTGCCATTATATTAAGATTTTTAATATTCAAGTTAAGTAAGATAAACTCAAAAATCACAAACAAAATTACCTACACAAATTATAAAAAATTGACTTTGCAAAGTGTCTGAGAATATAGGACAAGAGATACTTCTATAACTTTAGTTGTCTCTATAATAACTGCTTCATACTCCCAGACCAGAATTTTACCTTGGCATCTCAACTTTACCTCCCCATGCCACACAAGTCTTTTCATGCCGTTTCCCAACTTTTGCCAATACCTTTAGTACAATTAAATGCTCAGGAATGGTGGGAGAGATTTCTAGTACAGAGTGGGAAACACCTTAAAAATTAATCTGAGTCATGTCAGTATTACCTTTATCTTTTGGATCCAGACTACCTCCACACTGATGGAAGGCTGCCTCTTTCCTATTCCCCTAGTTTGATATGTTCTTTGAGACGCCTTCAGCCCGTCTCTCATCTCTCAGCCTCAGCTTCTGTCTTTGAGAATCAGGCAATAATCACAGGATTCAATTTAACTGCTGGATTGTTCTTATATGCTTTTTTTAAAAAAAAGATGCTAAAACCACACTATTCTCTGGAGACAATTATTTCTTAAAATGCTCCAAAA